AAATAGTCTTTAATATCATGACATCCTCGAAGGAACCTCTCCCATAAACCTTGAACTTGTTCCAGTAGATGCTTTAGTTTCACACTTGGTCAAACCATCACTGCAGCTCAGCTATGATTGTGCCTACATCTCCGAATTGCACTTCCATTAGGCACTTAGTGGGGAAAAGGGTTAGACCATCGAAACTCATAATCAGGCATTGTACTGCATGTTCCTGAGATCAATGGTTCCAGGCAATGGTTTGTCTAAAATGTCTTAAGAAATAGTCTAAGTCTTCCTTGGTTGCCCTTTTAAACACTGAGAAAGTGAACTGCTTTGCCTCCACATGCACAGTTGGTCTTGGCCTAGATCTCTACTTGGCAGGTTCATGGACCACCTTAAACTGAATAGTCCTGATAATGGAGGGATCATAAAGAAAGTGGGCTATGAGAGGACTGTATTCTGCCAAGTGTTAGCTCCCAAACCAAGGGTTGTAGAACACCAAGATAGTGCTTGTGTCTTATTTATGGGTCCAACAAAACCCAGGGTCACCTTTCAGTGATGCAGCTCAGATTGTTGGGGCTCATTTACCAATAACACATCTCTCCTTACTTTCAGGGTAGCTGGTTGTTTGCATTCACAGAGAGATTTTCTGCCTTCCACCATAGTGTTACGACAGCAGAAGTCACGTGACGCTACTAACACGTCATGAAATTCTAGAAAGATCATGTCTGTCGTGAAGCCTCGAGTGTTCTCCAGACGCCCTCTATTTCGTATATATAAGCCGGTAAATAAAGTGACGGCAATAATTGAATTGCAGTGAAACATCTCATGTTGGTAGAGTTCATCCACCACCAACACTTCACCTCTGTCCTTGTGGGTAGCACTGACAATTAAGTACCAAAACTCTGATTATATAATTAGTAAGTACTTACAGTCCTATAGAGACCACCCAACTCTGTTCTTAGATACCCTAGGCTGCATGTCACCCCAATGATTTTGAGTTGTGTAGGCTCCACTGTGTCTGAATCGTCTCAGAGTGTAGAGATTTGTTGGCCTTTCTGGGTGCAGCAGATCTATCCATTCCCGTACTTGGAGCTGCGTGATGATGGCCTTTAAGAGTTTTACAGCATTGACAAAGTCCAAGACCTAGAAGAGGACTTTCCTTGAATCTAGTCACCCTGCATTGGTTTCCAAATTATCTTCATTCAACTCATATACCCTATGTCCAGCAGAAAAACATTTTTATGCATAAATACTG